CCTAGGATTCTGCTTAGAGATCAGTGTGAGAAATTAAAAAGAAAAAGAATGTTTGCATATTTTAAGAAAGTGGTTGATTAAAAAAATAAGAAATGTTAGGTACTTTAACAAAACTAAGCCTTAAATATAGGAGCCAAATAATGTGGATACTGCACAGTAATTTTCTGCACTTTTGAAGGACTAGGAATGAATGAAGGAAGGTATGAACCCATTGGTCCACTTTTTTGTCCTCATCAACCTACTGAAGTAAGGTCTTCATATATGACACTGTCTCTTTTACATTGAATGGGCTTCTTGCTTCTAACATCCCTGGATGGTACAGATAGTAAATAAAAGCAGCTATGATTTTGCAAAAGATTTCTCATGTTATTCTCACTATGAACTAAAGCAACACTCTGAAGAAATCAAAGGGGAAGTTCTACTAGCTTAATTCTTCGGTGGTCTGGTTTAAGATTATTGAGGATTTTGTTAGTATGCTCTTCATCCCCACCTCCTCCACCTTCCCCCTTTTTTAAATAACATATTTAGAAATAAAGTTCAATTATAATCTTAGTTCAGGCAGAAAGAGATGGAATACAAATATACTTTTAACATTTTTAATTCCCTTGCTGGCTTAAGTGCAAGTTAAGAACCTTGACCTAAAGCTTTATAGAGAATATCTGACTGTACAGAAAATACTTAATTGGGATCATTGTGTTTCAGTTGCCATTATTATATTGCCAAGAATTCAGCTCAGATTATTAAAAATCAAAACTATTTAGAACCAATCTACCCACTGATCAAGGAAGAGACTTGCCATGTTTTACGAAGTCAGGATTCAGTCCAGACCTGAACCACTAATTTGGCAATGATACAGCACACACTAAGTTGTTTGTTTACCTTTGATTTCATTGAATAGATATTTACTTTGGAGAAATGTTATTTATAAAATAATTAGCATTGTCTTAAGAAATGCGGCTGTCCATAAACAGATATTGAACTCTTAGTAAAGTAAATGTCCCACATCTCATAATTCAGGCTTCTCTGCTAAAACTATTTCTGAAATTCCAATAGCTGTAGTCTTTATTCATTTGTAAATCTTTTCTTTGTGTGTGGAATTAAACTTCAGAATAAGTTATAATAAAATACTCTGTTTTGTTGCATCATTACTTAAAAACTCCCAGGGAACTGAGTTGTAAATATTGCTCTGTAACATGTTTTCCCTATAAAATAGGAAAACCAATTTCATACTAAACCTCCCTTTCCATATGATAATTAATAATGAGTTCTTTCTGCCATTGCAAACAATAATAGATGTACGATTCAACAACAGTGAATGTAAATATGTAAAAGGATGTGTTTATGAAGTATATCCTTTTAAAATATATGAATTTACTTAGCAATGTCTAAACTGAGAATGTCCTAGAAGACTGCAGAATGCTTTCCCTTCCTGAATTTCATGTGGGTGTCTAGAGTAATGAATAGTAAGAAAGAGTGACCAAAATTCAGAAGTATGTAGCTGATGTGCAGATGTGTCTCACTGGGTGTAGCTGTTCTGGTCTGTGTCATGTAACATTACAAGACCTTCAGTTGTGCTTCAAAGTCTCTTGTTCTGTGCAAGTCACTCACATATTACTGGCATTTTTTACTGTCTAATCTGATCCTTCCCCTTTATGGCCATACCCATGTGTTACAAAAGACAATTATTACATGAAGAGCAGAATTAATCCTTGTGGAATCTTGCAAATACCAGGCCTGGTGCTGGGATTGTGCCTCTCTAGAAGTGACAAATTTTGGGAAAGATTCCAGCTGTTAAAGCCTGACTGATGACTTATGCGTTATTGTGGGCTTCGTTTATCTTGTTGAGATGAGACTGCAATTTTAGATAGTATCAAATGGTGATGAGAGGTCCGAAGGAACAGCTTTTCTGTTTGTTCTCTGTGTGCTTAATAAAAACAAAAACAAAAACTAACCTCACTGCCTTAAAAGCCATTTTGTTTCCATGTCTTGGGTTGAATTTCTACTGTGCCAAGTCTCCAAGAGTAGCTTCTAATTAGAAATCCCTTCTAGTAAGTTTTTTGACTATGTCATCTTACGCCAATTTAAGAAGAGGCTTGGTGGAGAATAAAACTTGGCTACAAAAGTTGCATGCAGGATAGGCATCTTCTGTGTCAGTCAAAAATAGAAGAGAGCATTCATTTTTTGAAGACATATTGCTTATTTTCTTTGCTCTCAAGAAGGAGGAATACCATAAAGAGTAAATACCAACAATATTGGTACAATTGGTGTATGTGCCAGAAAGGTGCACAGATGGATATGTAGATTTGGATTATCATTAGAAAACTAATCATTGAAAAAGGTTTTATTTGCAATTACATTAATGAAGAATACTTCTGTTAAAACAAATAAATAGTTAGAGGTCTTAACCAGAAGTATAACACACCAAAACTAACATGTACTTTATTTCCTATTCTTTCAAGTACACAAACTTGCAGATAGGTTAAGATTTTTAATTTAATTACTAATGAATTTGAAGTCAGTGCCTAAAAAGGGCACCTCGTGAAAAAGTACATTGCAGCTTCCCCTAATGCAAGAAATATTGGACTGATGAAAGCAACCTATAGAGAACATGAAATAACAGCCAAGTGCTGGCATTTTAGGAATGTCTGTTCATAGACGTGCAAGTTTTATTTCACATTGTCCTCACCCTTCTCAATAAGAATGACTGATAGCCTCACTTTGTGATTTCCCAGCTTTTAAGAGTCTATTTTTATTTATTTTTTATGACCAACCTTACACTTGTTAAATGTAATTTTTGCTTTATGTAACATAAAAAAGAGCACATCTGCAGTATGCTGTCCCATGAATTAACAAGAATGACTGGACATAAGACAAGAAATCCTTTAAAAACATATGTTCACATTAAATATCTGGGCTATCTCAGTAAAGGAGGTCTTATGGGGTCATTTTTGATGCAGTGCAAGTAAACCATTTCTGCTCTCCTGAAATAGTTTCTTTCAGGTTTATATTGAGCTTGTATAAAGGCACATTACATAAATAAGGGCTTAGTTTGTACATTAGTCTTTTACATCTTGGATTCTTACTAAATCCTTGTTTTTACCAACTTGATGCTTAAGAGAGATTGATTTCTGCTACACATGTTTATGGTGTTTATTTTGATATGTCTGGGATTAAAAACAAAATTAACGCGCATAATCAATTTTGTTAGAATTAAAAAGGGTGCTTTGGTACCTTCGGTTACATTCTTCTCAAGAAAAAAAGAGATGTGATAATAAAGGGATTGATTTATTCAATCACAGGGTATAAAAACATTAGCCCTGGGAAAGAGCCTTCCTCTAAGAGCTTTAGCTGCCCAGTCTCACTTGTGTGGCACAAAATAATTTGCATTTTTAGAGAGATTTCATGTCTTCTGTGAGCTCTAGTGAAACATGAATAAATTGCTTTCTTTTCCTCTTTTCTGATTTTATAAAGCTGAATCCATTAGGGGCTGAGTCAAACTGTAATGAAAGAAAAGCAACAACTGAAATGATGGAAACCCTGGATTAGATTTCTTAGTAGTCCAAGCCCAGCTGTCATGGCCTACGTGTCAAGTTAGTGCTCTTTGGGGAGGCCCAACAGTACATGCGAATATTTTTTTAACTGCTGTGTTACAACAGGTCTCCAAAGCAGCTAGGAATTAAACAGAGAAGCAAAGATTAAGAATTAAATAGAGCCACGGCAAGCAGTTCACCAGAGAGATTTGTAGTCAGGCAAGTAAACCTTTCCAAAACTGCTAACCCGCTGCTGTCTGCCTAAGATGCTTCCACATGACCCACCTTGCTCTTTCGTGCACGCTGAGTTTGGGATCGCTAAAGGTGCGTGTGAAGGAGATGGTTGTTCATGTTGCTGAGTGCGCTGACCTGCCTCTATGCTAGCACAGGCTGTGGAGTTCACCACAAAACACTGCTCAGCTCAAACAAAGTCTCCGTGAAAGGCTACTGTTTTTATTCTTTCATATTATATAATCTGCTCAGCTAGCTTGTGATATTATCAGGTAAAATCTAAGCAGAACCCAAAGAAGCCAAGTTACAGTTTCTAGTTTTATGCCTGATAAATATTTTTGCACCCCAGAATCAAACTAGGGCTCCACTGTTGGAAGAGGGGCAGTTTTCAAGATTTGTGCCTGTGAAATATTCCTTCTGCTGGAAGAAGGCTTTGCATGAAGACTCTTAAAACTCCAAGCAGGTGTGTCTTATTCTAATTTATCTTTCACACCTTGTGAGCTTTGTGATGAGGTTGGAACATGATTTGATCAGAACGTGCTGATTCCAGCATGGATTTTAAGAGGAAAGCTGCAGGTTTGTGTCTTAGTGGGGAGACCTGGTCTCCTATCAAAGCACCAGATGTTAATCAGAGTACACTCTAGTGTTGGATTATCAAATTACCATTACCCAGTCTTCTACCTAATGCTTGGAATTTATCCAGCTTTGATTTGAAAGAGCTCTCGCTCTCTCCCGTGAAGGGGATTATGGCACAATCAAGGGGTTTCCTAGGACAGTAGTAAATTCAGATAGCTGAAATCATCTGGAGTCCCCTATTCACTTTGTTTACTTGCTAGGGAAATCGTGATATAACAAATCTATGTTAACTTCAAAATAGATTTCCCTCATTGTGAGAACAATTACACAGATAAAAAAAAAAAAAAAAAAACTTTCAGTCACTCTTAGACTTGTTCCATGGGAAAAATTCCTTCCTTATTTCTGAACTGGTGACCTTGCATGATTTACCACATCCTAGGAAGGCACTTCAAACCAGCAGCAGCTGTAACAGAAATGGTGTCTGCCCCAACTTCCACCAATGCCTATGTGAGGGACTGGGCTGTGAGGGAAACCTTTCCCTTAACAGCCTAACCTTCAGCAGCAACAGGAAAGTAACTCTGCTTCCTTTTCTCTCTTTGCTTTGTGCTGGGGGGAAAGGTCCAGAAGAAGCCAGATCGCCCATCTCTGTTCTCTCTCTGCCAGGCCTAGAAACCCATTCCTTCCTGCAGCTGCATGGGGCCTCTGAAGGACAGCATCCTTCATCGGTTCTCATCCCAGCCTCGTCACTCAGTCAAAGACTGGAGTGGCAGGGTGACATCTTTTACGTTACGAGGCGGTGAGTATGGCATAATTCAAAGTGAATTTAAAATTACTGAAGTCAAATATTTTTTTAAAGACCTATTTTGAGACAATTTGGCATAGCTGACATAGCCATGGCTTCAGCGAAGCTGCATGGGTTGTATCACTTGAGGATCAGGCCCAGACTAGCCAAGGCATTTATTTTTAAATTCTAGCTTCTACTCATATGTTCTTAAAAATCTCTGTAGTTCTATAACTTTCCAAAGCATGTCACAAGTCTTATGCTGACTGCTAATAAAGCAGAAAATCCATTTCCATTTTTCAGTGTAATCTTTTTTTCATGTGAATCTATTTCTCATCAAAAGAACCGGATGACTGGTCTGAAAGCTGGAGTTCTCTACACATCTGTAAAGAGGGGAGAAGTAGTGGCCTTTCAAGTTGTCCCAAGTTATCTGGAAGAACAAGTCCATAAATCCAAAAACGAAGAGGGAGAAACCCAACACTCAGTGTTGGTCTGACCAACAGAAGTATTGTTCCCAATTCCTGATGAAGAGAACTAGGTCTGATCTCACCCTGTTGGTAAAATCAACAAAGAAAGCTGATAGAAAAAACTTCCTTCAAAGTGTCAACGGGACACTGCATGGGAAGTATTTCACAATGTTATACCCATGTTGCCGTGTGTGAATGCAAGTACCCTCCACAGACCTGGACCTTAACTTCCAGCTGTTGCCATTATTGCCTGTTGGTATTAGAGTGGTACTGCATGACCTGGCTGGTAGCTGGACTTCCTTTGAGCTGTATATTCTGCAGTCATAATACTGTGAAACGAATAGCAGTAGGAGAAAATGAGATGATGTTCAGCAGCCGAGTAAACAGTTGCTTGATTATTATCAAAATAATTTGAGCCCTTTGGAAAAGAGAGCATGGAGGTAATTGGGTAGCTTGATGGATATTTATAGGCAGCCTGGGAGAAAGCCCAAAGGATGCCTCCACAAAAATTGGACAAGGAGGCAAAGCAGTCTTTGGGCTGGAGTAGAAAGAAGGGAGGGAATCCATGCCTCCTGTTCAGCTTCCCAGCAACACCCATCTGTCTGGGCACCTCTCAAGGCCTCCACAACTAGTGGCAGCTGCACCAACCACCCATTCTGAGGGAATCTTCACAATAACAGAGTTTTCTTAGAAAAGCAATTCAAAGATAAGTGATTTCCACCCTTAAAATCATTGGTCTGTTCTAAAACACTACATGATTTCTGATCTACCTGTACCTGGGAGGGGGGAAAGAGAGAGAGGGGATCTGGTTATATGAAGGTAGTGAGGATTTTTTTTTTTTTTTTTTGGAAGAGAGAAGTAGGAGCACTTTGTATCAATCTGAGAAGAAGACTTGAGCTGCTGCAAAGAATGCTATTCTCCCTAGAAAACCTCATTCACAAGAAAATTGATACTTCTGTAAGGGACTCTATCTTTTTTTTAAAGAACATAATCTTCCAGATGCTTCCCCTACATCTCCTTAGCCTGAGAGGGTGCACTCATGCCTAAGATGTGTTAGAGGATGTAAAGCTAAAGTCAGATAAGGAGACAAAAAAATCTCCCTGGCATCCTCTTTTTTTGTAGCAGATGCACTGTTGGATTTTCTCTGCTTCACTGGCTTCAGTTTCTGTACCCAAAGATACCTTTGGCTAAGCTCTTGGAAGACAGTTTCTCAGGAAAAAAAAAAAAAAAAAAAGTTGCATAGAGGCCTCAGATAATAAACAGTTTGTGAGCCACCAGGCAGAGTAGTCACTGGAGATGCTGAAATAAAGAAGTCTCAGCCATGAAAAAGGGCTCTTATATATAATTATGGAAGAGTAGGTAAGTCTTCAGAGGCCAGAAAACAGCAGAGCCAAGCCAGAACATAAAGAATGAGATCTGCAAAACAAGAAACTCAACAAAATTGCATACAGCACTCATGTCAAAACGCAGAGATAAAAGCAAAAAGAACTAAAATCACAGATACTTCTAATCAGAGCAATCTGATACTATATTTGATCCTCAGTATGCTAATGGCACATAATTAAGCAAGAGGAAGTGTTTAAGTAATCTGCTTTCCAGCTTTCCCTCCCTTTGGGACACCTTTGAGGGACCTGAATTTCAGAGAAAGGGGTGCTAAGCACTCTCTGACAGCCAGATGCTTTGAAGGCACATCAAGCTGCATATTCAGAAATAAATATCACACACTACCAGTGATTTAAATGCTGAGATCCTCTGTTCAGTGGCATATTTTGCTCAATGGGTAGAAGATAGTGTTTACAAAATGCATAGTTATGAACTGTCCTGCGATCCTGTCTTCTAGCTTTTAATTGGGCCTTTGTAACAAATACTTAACAGGCTTAATGCAGTGTGTCTGTACGAGTCGAGGAGAAGGCATAAGGTTTTATGTGTAGCCGTGCAAGAACATTGCATAGTAAGTACATAAAGTAGGTTCACACACAAGACAGGACAAACATTGGGGTGATCTGAGGGAATTCTTCAGTGTTCTGACCTGGACATGACTTGGTCTCAGAATCACTGCTGTGTCTGAAACCTGTGGTTCATTGTATTTTGCTTATTTACTGAGCGCCTGCTATACCTTGCTTAAAAACAAACAAACAAACAAAAAACATAAATGTAGCGACGGTAACACTGCACACAAATTGAGCAGGAATTTGCTGCTTCTGTTGTGGTTATTATATTGTCTAAAACATCAGTCCACTTACTGCTTCATTGCCCTTTGCGGTGAGATTAGATTCCATTCATAACTCTAAAGACGAGCATTAAAAATGTCTCCGCATATATCATTAAGATGCACATTTTTGCAAAAAGCCTGTAGGAATATCTTCAAAAATGCTGGCAAAAGTTCTTCAAGAATATGAAATAACAGCTCCATGAGCAAGAGAAGGATTTCTTTTCATAAGGATTTCTGAGTAGCTTTTGGGCTCAATCTTCAGTGGTGGCTCACAGTTCGCAGCAGAGATAGAAGCAGTGGAAGTGTTTTTATGCTGCTTGTATGTTCTCTCCTCACCAGCTCCTCAGGGTAGCCAAGGGTCAGTTTGGCATCTACCCCGAGACAGAGCAGCCCCCGTTTGCTCAGAATTTGGCTGTCTCAGGAAGTTCCCCAGGGGCTTATCCTGTTTTCAGGAGAGAGCATGTAGGTTCCAGCTGTGATCTTTATTCTGCATCTGGGTGGGGGGTGAAAGAAAAGAAAGCCTCCCCTGGGCCTCTGGGAATTTTCCTTCGCACTGTGGAAACCTGGATTAACCAGCTGGGCAGACATTCAGGCAGCTTCCAAAATTTTGCCTTAGACTGAGAAAGGTTAGAGATACTAAATCTGAAACTATCTTTCCTTAATTTCTTCTAAACTTGGGTTGGAATATGCCAGAGATGAGATGCCTTATTGAAACTTTAATAGTTTGGATTTCATGTAAAATTTGATGAAGATAAAGCTATAAACTAAAGACTAGTAGCTATTTTATTTAGGGTTCTTGAAGTGACCTTCTTAGTGAATGTATTTCAAATCTGATTTTTCCATGAAAAAAAAAAAAAAAAAAAAAAGGTGTAGAAGTTTTGTGGCATATCCCTAACTTCCAGACAAAGCAAAAGACACTGTCACATTTTGGCCTTTTTGTTGTTGACCTACACTCAAACATGACAGAGCTGTTATTTCAAGTTGATATATGGCTTATGCAAATGCTGCTATAGCGTATTGTCACAAACTGGTGTAGAATTTTCATAACAAATAGAACTGTAAAATGTGAGATGAAGAGTCCCATCATTGTACAAACACCTGATGTGTCCAAACTGTGAAAGAAAGGAAGGTTAAGTTGTGTGAGGACTGTTGAATATGAACAAGTAAATGACAGAACTTGCTAAGCAGAGAAATACTTATATTCCCTTTTAGTTTTCTTATCCAAACCATAAAAACCCTGCTCTTTCCTTACAGTGCCATAGTCTGAGTGGACTCTTTACAAGCATATAAAATAAATTCTGCTTCTCATTCATAACTCTACCTATCTGTAAAGACTTTATTCAGAGAAACCTACCTGTTCGATGTACTTCCTGTAGTTCATTTAAGGCTCCCATTTGTACTCATAAAGATTCATTCATTGCCCTGAATAATATATATGGTATATAGGAAGGAGAACCAACTGTGGCTTTTACAATCTGAATTAAACAACTTTGTCTGATAACAGAAGCACTGTCTCGTTTCTAACCAGGCCATAAGCCCTAAGGGTCTTGTATGTGTGCCTTTATTTATTTTTGCCAAATTGTCCTTCAAGGATCTGAAAGCCAAGTGAACCAAGCTGACTGAATTGTTTCTCTCTGCCTGCTCACAAAGACTGAAGCAGGCGTAGGCATAATTGTATTGAAGCAAATACCCGTCCCTAAACTTACTCTAAAATGCAACTGGGTGATCTGTCCTTTTCTCAGTCCCACCTTCTAACCTTCCTCGTCGAGAGAGTTCATCTGTTATGTGTGGCTCCTACAAATGCCCGTGATTAATAACTACCGTGATTCATTAGCCTGTGTTGTTTGCACTGTTTCCCAATGGGAGCATTTGCTGTCTAGGGATAGTCCATGATTACTCTGCCTCGTGGAGCAGTAAGATGCTTTCAATCTAATGTGCTGTCCATGTTTTAGCATAAAATAATATTAAGGCATCCACATAATGGAACCATCTGAAGATCCATTTTATTAAGCAGTGAAAGAAAATGTGCGTGTGTTTGTATGTGCGAGGGAAACATAACCAACAAATCTCTTTTACCAGAAACATAATTTCTGTAAATGTTTCACTTAAAGGCACGGCTATTTTGGGGTGCAGTTATTTGGATCCAAGGTTGAAAAAATACTCTGTGGTCAATGTCTTACCTGGCACAATTAGCTTGCTCAAATTGCATACGGCCTACTCAAAATAAGAAAAGCAGGAAGCAGAGGCAGGTTCATGGTATGTATTCCATTCCATTTGGCACATATTTATTTTAAATGCAAGCTACCTTCAAGTACAAAGCCGTAGTGCTCTTAAAAGATTACTGTTTCAAGTTACTCCACATACCTTAACAGAGGCATGTAACCTTTTTACATTATATGATCAACTTTTTGACAGTGCAGGGCCAGCACAGCTAATGGAATAATAGCCTGCAGGGTCCAGCTAAATGATATACGAATATAATCAACCTTTGTGATGACTATTCAAAAGTAATCCCTTTAGCTTTCAACTGCGACATATATTTCAACCAGGCAAAGCCATATGAAGAAAATCTCTGCAGACTCCACTGATACAATATGGCCTTCATATCCCCACAGTGTGTTTGCTGCTCACAGTGAGTTTTAAATTTAAGGTAATGGCTACTGTATATTCATGTGAGCATAGAACAATACCTTTGATTTGTTGGAGAAATGTTACATTAGCTACCAAGGGTCCTATTCAGTAAACTTTGACACAACCCTTATATATGGTTTACTGCTTATGCTAAATGGAATATGCCTGATAAAAATGCTCTGCATGCCCAAATTGTACAAATTCATTAATCTTTATATTCATAAAACCTCCAAGTACAACTGCCTCCATTCCAAGTGAACCTAGTCAGGATACATGGCTAAACATGTGGGCCCCATCTGTTTTTTGAAAAAGCATCGCATCGATTTTAATTTATCAAAACAGAAAAAAGTAGGAAAATCTACAAGTGTGGGACATGCCTGTGTTGTTGAGTCATATTATTTGCTGCTGCATCTTTATTCCTCCCCCATTACGTCATACTACAGACTATACAACTGAAAATAGCTGCATGACCTTTAAAATGCAAGTAGCTTTTAAATGAGAATAATAGATTGTAGCTCATCACCAGCAGGATAATCTAGCGCATCCTGTCATATCATGGATAGGATGTAAAGAATGCAGTGAGATTTTATTTTTCTCTCTTTCTTTTAGGACAAAAATACAGTATTGGCTAGCAGTGAGCCCAAATACATGAGGTTCACTGTATAAAAGGAAAACAGATATAAAAACACTGCCATAAATTACTACTCCTGCATGTACAAAACAGTAAGAGTTCACTCACATTAACAACAGCTGCAAATGTGTTGTTGGTTGCATATGTACCTAAATATATTTAAAACATGTTCCTGACTTTTGATGCGTTATAATATTTTATGCCACCTTAGCAAGCTAGCTATAAGGGAAAAATGGGAGAGGACACGGACTTTTCTCCTGTTTGCTTGCCATGTCTCTTCTTGAGTGCACAGACATTCAGGGCATCCTCAGCATGCTGCAGCAGGGAGTTCCAAGAGTGAGATGGCAGTGCATGAAGAACCTCTCCTTCGTCTCCAAACTCATCACCTGCCATTTTCTTTGTATCTTACCTCATTCTTTATTGGAAAAAACAGTTTCTGGGTCACCTTCTGTATGTTACTCTCATTGTCACTTCTCTTGTCATCAACTCAAAACAATGCCTTTTTTTTTTTTTTTTTTTTTTTTTTAAGAATTTTCAGCTCCCCAAGCCATGCTTCTTTATCAACTTATGGAGCTTTTCAGTGGAGTTCTAGTTTAATAAAGTCCACGTGTCTCTGAAAAATGCCTTGGATTTGAATGCTTTCTCATCTCATGGGCATGCGGTCTTGGGATCTGTTACATTTCCTTTATAACCTTTTGATAGAATGGTACCTAAAATTCTTGTCCTCTCTGAAGCCAGTGATCATTGTAGGTACGGTCTTTGTAACTGCAGCTTTCATTCTGTCCTACGACTTCTCACTAATTACGTTGTGTAAAGGACTAACAGCTCTGCTTGAACTTCTACTATAGGAACATAATGAAATAATGAGATTTTTAGAAGTGTGACAATTTCTTACATAGAGTCATGTAAACAGCAAGAACAACAGAGATGCCAATTCTTTCTACGCTGAAAATGTGACTGGACAATTTTTAATTATGGTTTATCAACAGCAGTGATAATATGTCAGGAACATCCTATTATGATTAATTGTATTTACATACTATTAATACATATTAATGCTTAGCGCTGCATTTTACCCAACACAATGAGACAGAAGGATGCTAGATGGTGTGATCTGTGGTGGTTTACATGTATTATCATTATGAATATGAGATGCTTTTATTGTTCCCAATTAGCACAGGCCAAGCAACCGCCAAGAAAACATCTATGGCTCAGTATTCTGTTACTTACCCTTGATACACTTCATATTTGCTGGGAGGGTAGAACTGTTAATCAGACAGTGACAGTTTGGTGTCCAAGTGTGAAGGCAAAAGGCCAAAAGGTGCATGAGAACAGCAATTTATGCTGTTATTCCCTATCTGTCATGCACATCTCCACTGGGTTTTGTATGTGTCAAAGCATGGAAGATACGTTGCTGTCAGAGACACACTTTCAAGTGTATTTCCTTGCAAGTACATCTGGTACTATACATACATAGTCACATGTTGGGCTTGAGGCACCCACTGGTCTTGCACCGCTTCTTCAACGTTGAGGTTCCACTGGGAAGAACATTAATGCTATCCTGGTGTAAAGCTGGGATGGGACAACATAGTTCAGACCCTATGGCAGCACTGGCAAACTGTATGAGGCTCTCAGCTGCTTCAGTGAATTAAATCAGAGTGGTCTCTCCTGGCCGTATCCTGAAAAACTAGACCTTGTTTGAGAACTATGAAGCCCCTGCCAGTTCTGTAATCCAGAGCTGTATCTTAGGTAGCTAAAGTTGTATCTGTTGTCTAGGATTTCCTTCTCTTGTGACTTTTTACTGTCTTACAACAGTGCTCTAAGTCCAAAGCACTAACACACTTTCTTGTTTGTTTGTTTTTGTAATAACAGAGCTTGATAAAGAAACAAGTGATTCGGAGCCCCTGTGAGCCTCTTCCAGAGACAAGAATTCTAGGTAATTCCTGGTACAGTATTTGCTCTAAATCTGTATGCTTTTTTACTAATAATATAATGATTTTCATAAAATGTCATTTGGTATCAAAATTTAACCTGATTTTGACGGGTAATTGTATATCAGCTGGTTTACTTTGTCTAAGTAACAATATTTTTCTTGTTCATAAAGGAACAAATTCACACTTCCTTCACAGTTTTTACTGTTTTTCCTGTGTTTGGAATTTAATTGCCTTTGATCCTGTAACTGCTTTTAATTTAAAGAAAAAAGCCTTTGAGACAAAAGCAAATCTATTAACCAGATGCTGAAGTCAAACATAAAATACGTAGATATCAGCAAGTATAAACTTACAACATTTGGTATTTGTTATTTGCCTTTTTTCATTACAGAGAACACCTGCTTGCTTACAGAGCAGCTGATAGATGTCTATTATAAAAACTGGAAGATCCTTGAAGACTCACGTAACAAAGTAAGGATTTTGGTGGAAATTCTGTCATTTAAGTGGGTACACAGTGGTGCAGTATAAATACCTGAGAGCTCTAAGTTCTTGTCTGTCTAAGGGTGGCCTCATCTTTTTTATGAAAAGTAGCTAGTGTCATTGACATAAATACAAAAGGAAAAGAATAATACAGAACAGGATGTCTGTTGTTTGTGCCACTAATGCTTGTTGTGTTCCAAAGTGTCGAGATCCTCCCATTAAGATACCAAACATCCTTTATGCCTGCTGAAGTAAACGTGAATCCAAGATGCTCAATACCTTGGAAGATCAATTTCTAAATGTCTGGAATATTTGCTTTAAATCCCTAATTATTGTCCTATTCAGGAAAAACAAACAAACAAACAAAAAAACTACAAGCTTGATGCCTTATATCTAGAACTATCAGTGATTTTTAGCTTCTGTGCTTAACAGTTGTGGTTCAACAATGACCTGAACAGAATAGATCCAGCCTGGGTGGCCCACTGTGGTGCAGTTTTGATCTTGTCTATAATGCAGGTCAGACCCAAACACAACTAAGTTTCTTTAAAATCTGGTTGAGCACACTTAAGAAACTGCTGAAAATCTGTACAACCAAAGCATTTGAAATGCCATTGACTGTCTCAAGTGAAACATCAATCTATAGGCACAGCTGAAATGAGTATATTTAATAGTGAAAGTGCATCTAGCAGAATACCTGTATGTCACCATTTCAACACGGAAAATGAAATTTCCCTTTTAGTAAAGACTGTGTTCATTCACACAATCTGGAAAAGTAAAAATCTGCTTGGGCTCTTTCTGATAAATAATCTGAAGCCCCGATTATAGAGGGTGTGTGGAGAATTGTCTCCTGTTTTGAGGTGCTGACATTCCTGGCTGTGTGTTCCACCCATCACCCGCAGCAGTCTGACTCCTGTGGTCTTCACCATTCTCAGGGGGCATTTCCCAGCCACTGTCACTGCTGGCCCCAAGAACAGTTAAAGGACAGAAGGTGGTGGTTATTGACTCACAAAATATATGGCGAGACAGGATTTGGAACCTTTGGATTTTATTTAGGAAAATTCATGCAAGCTTTTTCAATTTCATATATTAGAAAATCTTTCTTTTGAGCTACATAAACAAAGCATTATGAATCCCAATAATTGATCTTTCCTGTCTTTAAACGGAGGTTTCCGGAGTCAGAGTTTGAAGCAAGGTCCATTAGACCTGTAATCAGTTTTTATGACAGTCTTTGAGCAAGCAATAGCTTTTGCTATAGTAATAACTCAATTCACTGGTTTTCTTCAGGGTTGCGATTTGAGTAACTGGTTGACACGTGACAATAGGATTTCTCCCTGTTAAGGCATGGTGAAAAATACATCATTAACTAGCTCTTATTAGATCATTTTTGATGAAGATGCTGTGTGCTTACAATGTAAACAAATACCTGTAGCAATACTTTTATTCTTTTACTTAGAGGTCTTTATTTTCTGAACACAAGGCTCATGACAACGATTTTAATTTAGAATGTTTCTAGAAGGATAAAAACTTGTATAAAAATGTTCCTACACAAAATTATGCACATACTTAAGCATACAAATTTACTAAGTGTTAAAGAAGGTAAACATTTAATGAATACAAGGAAGGGGAACAGGACCATGAATTAAATATAAACAATAACAGTATACAGTTTACCCCTCATATTTTAATGCTGTTGATGTGAAAGACTAAAAGTACTAGAAAAACAATACAGCAACTGGAAATAACACCTGAAAATCACATTAATATGCAAACTCTTCTAGTCCTGATAAAACGTGGCAGAGCTTCTTTAACATGATGCTGATTTTAGATATTTGTAATTTCTTTTATCAGAAAGTTGTTGAAAAGAATGGGGTATGTGAATTTATCATTCATAGTGGGGAAAAAACATATAAAAAATATTGTATACCAAGCTGACATTCTAGAAAAGCTGATTATCATTTTTTCAAGGGCAAGCTTCTAAATTCTTATGGGTTTTGAACCTTATGTACATTTTTACATAAGGTTTTACAAAAATTATATGTATGCATACCAAAAGTTGTTATGCATCTATATTAAATAGCATCCATGATCATCAGTATTCTTTGCAAATCTGAACTCATTGCTAAGTGGTAAGTTTTGTATGCTGGTGAGAAAATGGTCACAAATTCTTCCTCTAAAGCATTAGCTCTCCCATACTTCTGAAAAATACTTGTTAGTCACAAAGCTTTTAATAAAAATAAGGGGATTTTTATCATCCTATAATGATGCAAATACAAGCTGTGTTCTTCAGTCAGGAAGCTCCTGGATAAAATGTTGTTTATTGAGCTAAATGTACCTGCCTCCCATCCCAGTAACTATTTGTCTGACGAGTAGCTGTCTGGCTGGCAGCATGTAGCTATTGTTCTGCTCCTTGCGGACTTTTTTAGTGGAAAAACAATGGCTGTGCTTTCCACTTCCAATCAATGGGGCAAGGTGGTTAGACAGAGAGTAGTTCCATACATTATAATTTGGATGGGTTCCTGGATTGAGCCTCTCAGCTGTTAGAAACAGTCAGAGCTCTGTGGCTAGTGGACAGGCCTCATCCTAATATCCCACATGCTCCGGCTGAAAGCACAGCTCTCACCACTGCTTGGCTGAGCTAGTGACTCACCGCTACTTCAGAAAGATTGCCACTGACTGAATTACCAGTGCCTCTTCCAACGCCACTTGCCTTTGGTGATCTCTTGCCAGACATAGTCCTGCTGCTCAGATACTCATGAGATCAGAACTCCAATTAGTTCCAATTAGGGAACTTTGGTTCTTCCTCTCTTTATGTGAGGGAGACTGTGATTTCTTTAAGGAGCTCCTCATATGGAACAGAATCTTTTTCTGCTCTGCCGGGTTCATTATCATTGCTACTGTTCCTCCACGTTTTTCTAAAAAGCCTCTAATTCCCTTTCCTTCAAAACATTATGATCAGAAAAGAATACTCATGAGAGAGGTAGAACCAAGTTGCAGGCTTTTCTGTGCGCTAAGAAATTATAGGAATAGTTGGCTTTAATGAAGTTAGGAAAGCAGGTAAATCAATGTAGATCGTAATGCCAGTTGTCTGTTTCAAAACAGAGACTTGTCAAACACATTATAGCAGATCAGACTCTGAATAGTTCTGAAGTGGTAATATTGATGTCTTTAAAATCTGAGTAATGCGTCTGCCTGTGGTATGTGAGACCTCGCAATTAAGACTGCTTTTGGAATAGGATTTTAGAAGGTTTTGCTGTTAGATCTATCTGATGGTATTGATTAACAATTCCTAGCAGAGGGTAAGCTTGTACCTCAGAAAGGATTCTGTTTATAATTATGAAAAGCATGTTTTCTAATCATTAATAAGGTATATCTTGTTAATTATGATGATATATAAGGTATTTCACCATTTACCTGTGAACCCATTTGGAAAATTAATGTTTGAGTCACAGAAAGGTCATTGCTATTCTGGAAGGGATCCAATCATCTCTAAATAGACCATCCAAATGTAGACTAAGAAATACACTATATATAATTACCTAGAAATAGATGGAATAAATAAGATTGATGGTAGATATTACTAAAGCCACATTTTAGTTTCCTGCTAGGAAAAAGTAGACTAACTGAAAGAAACAATAATATACATGTAAAAATGCAAGAAATAGGGTAAAGTCATAAGTAGGTATGTAAGACTTGGCTATTACATGAGGTCAGAACTCAGCAGCCTTCAGAAATGGTGTACATCAAGGATTTTGTCTTGAGATTTCATGAAATGTTTCTGAAGACAACAACTACAAAGAAGAGAATGAGGACTTTAAAGAAAAAATAAAACTGTGTCTTGTTTGACATCATTTCTCTATAATATCTTTGTATTTTCTACATGTATGCCTACAGGTAAATAAAATGTGCTGTCTTTGAAGGTAAACAAATAAACATGTTAATGAATATTTCCATGTCTGAGTCTTCTTTTGACACAGGCATATTGCTGAAGAGTGATCCCGAGCATAAAGAAGCCCAGCAGCTATGAAGGTAAAGCACATTGCCAGGAGTTTAACCTTAGGAAATAAACTTCTCCTTCTAAACATTTAAGGTTTACTTTTAAATGTTAAAGCATAAAAGTCCAATATAGCTGTTGGTTAAACGAGCTCTCAAGATCATTTAGCAGAGGAGAAGAAAGAGAAAAAGGTCAAAGTGAGTCTTTGATTGAAAGCCTACTGTTGAGTCCCAACTCATCTGCAGGACAAAGTGAGTGCCAGATTCCTATCTGCTTGCTGCAATGCTGGCTGGCAGAAATTAATCTCCATGGGTGAGAAAGCAACTTAGTAACTGAAACCCCTGGTCCCTCTCTGTGTTGAATTAGTAGGTTTGTTTCACCGAGGTTAACAATGAAGTTACCTGTTTGTTTTACCACCAAGTGAAAGGCAGACAACCTTGAGACGAGCAGCTTCCAAGCACAGCTAATCCAGGTGAGATCCGAAGGGCTGGAAAGGGCCCTGCCTGCAGTCTGTGGGAGCTGAGAGTGTGCAGACCCCGAAGAACCACTTGGTTCTTTGTAGAGTGAGACAGGAGAAAAAGGTCTGAAGTTGTTCCAGCAGCTATCCAGTCTCCCGATCTGCTCTGCAGTTTGCCTATCTGTATGGGTAGACAGAAGAACAGTGAAGAACAGATTTTCAGTAGCACACAGAAGACCCAGAGGCTGGGGGCTTGTGCATCTCAGGAGGAGCATCTGAGAGCAGAAGTAGCTCCTGGCTCCCAGTTGGCTCCAAGCTGATTATCTCCTACCCCAAACAGAGGTAAGCCTTGTCTCTGGGGGTCAGCTGCTTCCAACACCAGCTTTCGTACCTGGCACGAGTAGTCTCCAACTAGGGAAGCACATATCCATATACAGAGATATAGCACCTCAGGAAGGTTCCTGCCCCCTACACTGTGACCCATGCTCTCACAGCGTTGCTCCCCAGTCTTCCTGAACTGTGTCAGAAAACATTGCTCCATCTGGCCACAGGATCACGGTTTGCAAATGACGTGTCTCGAATCTGGACTTGACCACAGTGGTGCTTCTAAGAGCATCCTCAAAGAGCCCTCCCTGAAGCATGGTGTTTAAAGTTATTTTCTCCAGTTTTCTTTCATAAGAGTTGTCTGCCTCCCGGCTCCTCAGCATCGGTTGGCTCAGAAAATTGGACACTCTCCCTTTCCACGTGAGTACTGGGAAATCACTCTCCCTGACATTGCTGTGTGCTTTCTGGGCAAACCAGGCTCATGCCAGGCTCACAGCACAAATTAAAACAAAAAGTATTTATGATAAGGGAAGTTCAGGATTACCTGGCTTCTGTCTCCAGGCCTCGCTCTACCACAGCAGGCCCTTCAACTTTTATGCTCTGAATTACAATGAGCTTTCACTTGTGTGGAGCCGTGATGCTCTCAAAGGAGCTCTGTGGTATTAGAATATTTTGATGAATTAGAGCCTTTGCTTTTACTTCGCCTCTCCCAGCCTCTGTTGTGGGAGAGCGATATCACCACCAATGCACTCGCGTTTTGCAGCGCATTTGGCAGAAATGGCTAAACAACTGCTCGAGATGGGGACAGTTAATCAGAGGGAGGTCAGGATTTATGGCGCTTTGAATTCTTCCCGTCACGCTGAAACCCAGCACTAATATCCTTGAGCCACGTGAGGGGCAGGGAGGGGTGCGAGTCCCCTTGCCAGGGGCAATAGCGTGGATGATGTGCACCGAGCTAGGGGAGAGCAGGCGCCCACGCAGGCCTGTACAAAGTAGCTGCTCCTGGAAGACCGGAGGCTTCCAGGGCTGGCCGCAGCTCCCTTGGTGGCAGAGGCTTGTTTTTAAGCCGTGGCTGCGTACACAGCGTGCCACCAAAGCGCTACAGAAGCAAGGCAGGCAGAGTTGTGTCAGCTGTTGTGTGGTGTAAGGGGAGGAGCCCCATGTACGCCTCATGGCCTTGCCTGCAGGGCAGCTCCGCAGCCAGGGCTGGGAGCCCTCGCACAAAACCAGCCTAGGCCGAGCCAGCTCAGGGGTGGCTGGCACAGGGAGGAGAGATGCCCAGGATCACGGTGAGTACTTTAAGTGCATTAGGAGCCCGTTGGACTGAAAGGTTTTAGGGCAAGGAGCCATCTGTCACCTCACCCCCGAGCACCGGCCCTGGCCGGCACACGTGCACACCAAACCACCTCAGAGCAGGCGAGGTTCAGTCGCTGCTGCTGGCTGCGGTCACTCACTCTGAGTCCTGCTCCAGGCTGTTTTCCTGCTCCTTCCTGACTAGAAAATCGCAGCATAGTGGAACCTGCCTGGAAAATCACTTCCTGAGGCCACCTGTACTGGGAAGCTTGGTAGTTTATGCAAAGTAAATGAAAGCCAGGCTGTGAGGGAAGTAAATGAAGAAAAAAATTGAACTAATATATTTGCAAAAAGTATGCTTGTCTTAGTCACTCCCTCTGCTTTTCCCAAATCCCTCACCCCGCTGTAGGGAGCTGCGGTGTTTCCATCACTGAGACAATACACTGCCCCTTGAAAGCTGCTGGGTTTAATCTCACCATCAGATGGTGTGATTCATTTCTGCAGTCCCTGTTGTACATTTCTTAATATCAGACATGAGTGAAATATCTGCAGGACTGTAACTGAGAGTGGAGTTAACTATTTTTTCAAAGGAAAAAAGATGCTGGAAATATATAGTGGCCCTCGTCAGCTGAAAGAGCATGTGAAACCTGTGGCAGGCTCCCGAGCTGCACTGCTGCAGCCTGCTGAGCCTGTGGTGGTATCAACTCAGTGAGCCAGGAGGAGGCTTTCACACCTCAAAAATACAGCTGGGTGGGTTCAGCCGAATCCCAGGCATAGCTCAGGGCACTTGTGTGAACACTTGCCTGTGTTCAGGTACTTTGAATCTCTACCTGTCAATTATTTTCAACACCTTTGACATGCAAGTGTTCATGGTGAACCTATGAGGAAAGCTTAGTTCATGGTTTAACGTGGTTCTGCCATCTTCAGCTGTTCTTTTGCATCCCTGGGCGATAATCACCTGTTTCTGGGGGAAGTGCTTTTCATGTGATTTTCTGTTTTGTCATGACTGGTTCCTTGGTTAGGAACTCGATCCTCTTTTCTCACACTCTTCCACGTCCAAACTGGGAGACGTTTCTCCTCAGAAAGAGCAGTCAGGCATCGGGACGGGTTGCCCAGGGAGGTGGTGGAGTCACCGTCCCTGGGGTATTTAAGGAAAGGTTGGACATGGTGGTTAGGGACATGGTTTAGTGGGTGACATTGATAGTAGGGTGACATTGATTGTCCACCTGTGTCTTCTCAATGTTAATTAACATGGGGTTCTGCAGAAGCTTTCCCCACCCCTCACAAAACATGCCAAAAAATGGCATCTGCAGCAGCATCTTCATGAGGAACCAGGCTTCCCTGACTGTCTGACGCTTCTTACTAGCTGAATATGAGTCACATCTCCAAAATGATTGTGCTGTTGTTTGCATTGCTGGATAGAAATTAAACTGTTCAGTACTGCTGAGAAGGGAGGTAAGCCATCGGCATTGTACACATGGAAAGTGGGTAAGTTCTGTTTAGTTGTGCTTATTTTCAACTTCACAGCTGGTGTGCCCAGTGGTTTTCAGGTGTCAGAAAGCTGTGGGATAGTAGCACGTGTTCTACATTGAAATAGCCTGGGGTTTTGGTCTACCTGCTTCATAGCCTTCCTCCTGCTGTTAACACGGTACACGTGCTGAGTGAAGACTTAGTATAGATGAGAAGATCATCTGCACTGAGCTATTTCTAATTAAATTAATTAGCTGATTAGTAAAAGTTACACTATGCCCTCGAGACAAACGAAGGTATGCCCAGGGAGACACTGATCTCTGCGTACCAGCACTCAGCTGACTGCCTGCCAGGCTCTGCCCTTGGGGAACAGACCTCAGCCTGCAGGTCTGGCTGTGGGGCACGCCACCGGGTCTGAATATCAGCCACGAACTGGTGATGCTTTTATCCAGTATCGTTCACAACTGCCTCCCCATTAATTCGCTCAGCCTGGAAGCACCCTGGTGTCTCCTTAATAGGGGTTAGCATTATTTATAGCAATTTACAGGTGTGCTGCTAAAAGACCAAACTGTAAATCACCTCCAATGTTGTGCCGTGATGAAGTGCCTCTACATTATTTAACAAATTGTCCCAACATGACTGAATGGTGGGTGCACAATGGAGAAACTTGCCACAGAAATGCAATGCTGAAAAGGCCGCAATCCTGTGTGTTTAGTTTAGGGTTGTAATTGCAATTGACATTCTTCTGGGGGTTTTGTACTCCAGGAGTATTTTCAGATTTAGAAGAGGGAAGTGCTCCTGACCTGGGGTTGTCAGCGGGGCAGCACAGTGCCTAATGCATGGGGCCGTGTCAGACAGCTGGCCTCGCAGAGGTTGTGGGCACAAAAAGGAACCGGCTGCACGTATGCATTTCGGTTCCAGCCCACTGCCTGGAGTGTGCAGGAGCAATGTTGTTTTACAGTGTGTGAGAGTGATTCTGCCTCGCCAGAAATAAGATTGAGATGCAATGTAACGCCAGCCAGAAGCGCTCTGAGGTACCTCGAAATAAAGAAATATACATGCTGTGAGATGTTGGTCCATCATAGTTGGCCTCAGCCTGAGCACAGCACTTCCCTGGGTCGAGGGAAGGCTTGTCATTTCTAAATGATGAGAGAGCGGAGAGCTGGAGCAGCGCCTTCTTCCTAGAAAGCCTGTTCTGAAACCGAAGCACAATAATTGTTATATTGCTCCTTTCTCTGGTCCTTGCAGGTGTTTTTCCTCTTTCAGATGTGCAGGGTGCTGGTATGTGCTAAATGGCTTCTGGTTTTCTTTACTCAGCCTCAGACAGTTTTGTCAGGCCCAGCTGAAAGGCCCCTGCCTGTCCTGCAGCTCGGCTCGCCCGCAGGGAGGTCTGGCACGAAGCGGAGC